GACAGTGACAATCGGGGAATAGGGGCTAGGAGATCAGACCAAGGGTTAGGGTTATATGGTCGAGCACCGCATTAGACTACATCAAATCGATAGATGCACCGGCAGCTTGGTAATCTCTAGCCATATTAGCATCTACATAATGGCATTGATGTTTTCTTTTGAGAATGGGAAAGTCGCCGACATCAGACGCATAGGTAGATTTCAGTGTGCTTGTGACCTACACGAGGTTGGGGAAGAAGAGCTCATGACAGTCACACCACCATGTTGCAAACGGACCCCAACAAGCGGGTTTCGAGGGGCCTCGCCTTAATAATCAGCCTACCCCTTTATGTAACACTTTTTCAAAAGCATGATGCCCGACACTCTCCCCCCCCCTTTCAGCCCTGCCATTCGTCCCGGTCTCACGCCAGCTGATGACGGCACGCCATGTTTTGTTACCAATGTTGCAGCGAGCTGAACATCCCATACCATGGTAGCTTAATCGTGTTGGCCTGATAACACGATGACCTCCGACCCCTCACGAGATTCATAGAGGTCCGTTCATTTACTTAAGCGCCCTGACTCATCCCAAGGTTGGTGAAGCTCCCGTTTCTGTTTAACACTATTTATTATTGCTCGGTACCCAAATGCGCCCAAAGTGAACCAAACACAATATCAGAAAAACACCACAATCACCAACAAAATCAATCCAACCCACACAAAAACATGCTCCCAAAGGCCCTCCTCCTCCTCCTCCTCCTCGCAATCACCCCCGCGGCCGCCCTCCCCCGGCACGAGCCGCAGCTCCCCTTCCCCCCACCCAACCACGCGTCCCCGGGATCCGGCTCCCAGCCCACCACCCCGTCCACCACGCCGATCTCGTCAACCACATCCACCCCATCCACCAGCAAAGTCCTAGAACTCCAGCCCGCGACAGCAGTAATCCACGACGGCTACTGGGGCCCGCCAGGCAACACCTGCGGCGCCAAGACGCTCCAGATCTACAAGTCCCCCAGCTCCGCGCACGCGCTGAGCACCATGCTCAAGTTCCAGTACCCGTCCTCGGCCAAGTACTGCTGGCTCGAGTTCGTCGGGCCGGCGGTGCCGGCGGGCAGCGGGCGCGAGGTAGATGTGTTCCTGCAGTGGGCGCCCGTGGACGCGTGTCCGTCCGACGGGAACCGGCGCGACGTGCAGGTCGGGCGGTTGGAGATTCCCGTCGGTGGGGGGAAGGCGGTCTGGAAGGCCGTGTATAAGGATTACTTGACGAGGACTACGTTTCCGTGTCCAGTGGGGAAGGTGGAAGGGATTGAGCTGGTGGGGGTGGGGGATTCGGAGGATATTCGGTGGGTGCAGGGGGCTGGGAAGGGGGCGAGGGTTTTGTATAGTAACTAATCGAGAACACGCTGTCGCGCCTGCCCCTCTCGCTCCATCCCAGTCCGGCTTAGCGCTTCGCCTTCGTGGATTTGCCCCACGGTCCCACATGCACATGCGTCATTCAGCTGATCACGCAGGTGATGGGTACCGCGAAATCTTAATAAACGAGAACGACTGTGTGCCCATTCGGCTACGCCGCCTTTCGAGCTGAAGCAAATCTTCCCCCCCCCCGCATCCGAACCCATCCGCAATTTTCCTCGATTGCAATACAATGGAGCAAGCAGTAGCAAAGCTGGGAGCAGAGAGGCTCGACAGAATCCTCAGCTGCCATCGCCAATCCCGATGCCATGCTTCACTTCGTAGACGATATCTCTCCTCCTACCGAGCCAGTGCAAGATTACCTCACAGAGGTGGATACGCGCTGCGTCCTCTTTGACGAGTTTCGAGTGATTCGCCAGTATCATGGTACGGTATCAAATGCGACGGTATTCGCCATGTTTATGATCGCACCCCTCTTAGAGATTCGTAATTTTCTCCAGATCGTCCGTGATTCTTCGCTGCCTAACATTTTTGTTTGTGGTACCCTCAGAGTCGCACCGGGTAGAATTAGAGCCTGTAAGTCACTGTTTTCCCACTTAGCTTTCCTATTAATACTAACTAAGATAGATCTTCCTAAATCTCGTTCTCCTGAGGGGGTGGCGGGGCCGCTTGGAGCGGTACTGACGGTAATTTTTAGCGAACCTGGAATACTTATCCCTTCTAGCTCGGTAACAAGAAGCGGGTTCTCAAATCGAGTAAGTTTTAGATATATTTTCTTAGATAACGTGATTGTATAGCGAGAGAACCAACATAGCGAGAGAACCACCTTCCCACCTCAATTAGACTATCATCTGTAATACCAACACCACATAGGAAATGATTAGCTAAAACTACTCGGAATCTAATTCCTCATCCATTTCTATATCCTCCCGGCACGTACGAGAATTATGTCCAGTTTTACCGCAATTACTACAGTGTCGCGGACCTCCTGCACGCCTCTTCGCACGACCACCCTCCAGTTGTATTTCCTCCTCTTGTTGAGCCTGCGCATCCTTTTCCGCTAGAATATCGCTTGCATCTTCCACAGTGAGTGGCCCTCCTGCCCTGATATACCTTTTTTTAGCCCTCCGGCGTTTACTTAATGCTGAATTTGCCGCCTCAAGCTCTTGGACGCGATCCTTCATCAACACCATCTCGTGCATAACCTTCATCGTCCCCTTCACAATTTGGTCAAGGGCCCCAAGAATTGGTGTCGGAGAACTGCCTTGATGTCTGGTAATGCGATCCTTAATATATGTTGATTGAAGGGAGGCCTCAGTTGCATTCTGTGGCGTCTTAGAGACCCAAGTGTCGTGTGCGATCTGAGGGGCAGCAGGGGGTGTTGGCGTACGAAGCTGCACATCCAGCTGGGAAATCACCCTCTCTGGGCTAAATGGAACAAGCCCTGCCCCTCGGAATCCTCCTCGTACGTTTTCAGGCGAAAAAGTTGCGTTGAATGCGTTGTAAAAGGCGAGAAAGAAGTCTGGTTTCGTAATGTGGTGGATATGGCTACGCATAAGTTTCTCAATTTCCTTGCCGTATAACCGCTTTAACACACTAAAACACCTAACATCAAGTGGTTGGAGTAGGTGGGATGAGTGCGGAGGTATATAAAGCGTTATAATGTTGTTAAACCGGCAGTAATCCTCAAACTTAAGCGAGTGGTGGCTCTCGTGCCCATCCAGGATAAGAAGACGCTTTCCACCTGCCGTATGAGAGCGAGAGTGTTTGTCGAAATGCTTAACCTAATCAAGGCCAATCCGGTTATTTGTCCAACCAGTTTCCGAAAGATCGATAGTCTAGCTAGGTGGGAAAGGGCTGTTTCGATACCAGCTTTCAAGGTGCATTTTCCCCGTAACCACCACATACGGAGGAATAGTATAACCACGCGACTGTACGGCCTGGATTACTGTAACCCATTCCCGATTACCAGGCTGGACCTTTTTAGCCCTCCCACGGCCGTCGGACGAAGTAATAACGAGGGTGGGCGAGATCTGGCCCATCAAAAACCCAGTCTCGTCAAAGTTCCAGATATCTGACTCCTGGATCCCATGCTTCGCGATTGTGTTGCGAACAAGGTCAAACTACGCGCTAATTATCTTTGGATCTTCGCATTTGGCCCTCTGGTAGTCGTACGGACGCGACCAACGCGTCCGGAGCTCTGGTTGTCGCCGTACGAAGTTGGAAGCCCAGCGTGGTCCGACGCGTGACGCGTCGCGCGACGCGCGTAGCGAATTGGCCATATTTTCCACCAGATCGTATCCTGGCGAAAATCCTTACTCGTACAGGTCGAGAATCCTTCGTACGATGACCTCCTCCTCAAGGGGATCAAGCTTCCGAGAGTTGGCGATAGTACTTGCTCGAGCGGGAATTCCCCTCTGCCGCTTACGCAGTGTCGGATATGGTATTTGGTAGTACTCTGCTGCTTTCCGAAGGCTAAGTTTCTTGTCGCGTTCCATAGCCTGGAGGGCAAGCTGCAATTGTGCTTCATTTTGTGCAGCGCTCATGTTTGGTTGTGGAGAAGTTTGCAGTTTTGTGCGATAGTTTTGTCGAAGTGGTAAAGTGGTTCTCTCGCTATGTTGGTTCTCTCGCTATACAATCACGTTAATTGTTAATAGGAGTTTAGGTAAAAGATCGGGATGGACATATTTGTGTGTTTTCTGGAATGTCTGATCCCCAGGCGGCGTATATTTTCCCATTCACGACAAGTAAGACGAAGAATTTCCGACGCCTCAACGAGATACTCACGGTCTTTTGGGGCTCTAAGAAGTCCATGGTATGGCGTAGGGCATATGAGGACGTAGACATTACCCAGTCTGCCAAGAATGGTATCTCGATGAGCCACCAGATCTACTTCTGGTTCGACAACGCGAGGCTTGCCCTGAAGCCTCTTCGAGAAACCCCCGAAGGAATTGTCGTCCAGTGGCACTGGCTGAAGAGAAGCGCCTTGAAGCTACTTACCTACATTCGCCCAAATGAAGACGTCCTTCACCAGGCTAGCGTAATGGATCAGAACTGGGGTGATAACTTGGCACACCGGGAGAGTGGTATGAGGATCCGGACTGGCCAGACATTCCTCCTCCGAGAGCAGAAGAGCCTGAGGACAAGCCTAGCTGGGATCTCCTAGAGATGCAGTGGAATCTCCAACGTGTTGCAGCTCTCTGCGGAGCAGCCGATGTCACCGACAACTATTACAACTACGAAGACCCGGATGAGCGTGGCTATGACGAAACTGTGGCCGCTAAACAACGCGCCATCTTAGCCGAATACGAGGAGGGCCGGGATAAGGGTGAGGTAATCAACCAGGAAAAGGGCAAAGGGGTCGACCAGGGTAGGACCAAACAGGCCAAGGTACTCCTAGTAATCCAGACAGTAATTGAGTCGGGTTGATGGAAGTATAACATTGGGGAAAGGGGAGGATAAAAGGGATGGTCGACTTGACGACTTCATGGAGTTTGTGTGGAGCGAGAGCTTGTCTTTGCTCGAATTGAAAAAGATTCTGCTGTTAAATAGTTTGTTGGAAAGGAAAAGAAATGAATTTAGAGACAGAACATTTCAGGGATCATCATCTCCCCCAGGTAAGCTTGAACCACCAACCTCCAGATACCACGATATTCGATAACAATCTGACGCGCTAGCTAGCCAATTGCGCCACGAGGGATTGGTTTTTGTTGAACAAGAATCGCAATATGTGAGACTGTATCGATAGCTTCCAAAAAGTTGATTTTATGACATTGAGAAGTGTCAATCAAGAAGTCGGATGACGATGAAAGGCGTTGTGGTGTTCAAGACAGCGAATCAAACCTAAGCCGGTGCCACAGCCCTTGGCGGGATCATTCGGTTTTCCTATGAGTGGCTTGCGCACCATAAAAATACAAGCTATTCCTGGCAGCCAGTACCGATTAGACTGGTATTCCAGTATAGATATACCTTCTCCCCTATCGAGGCGTCGCAGCCGAAGTCGGTGGCTTATTCAACCCAAGAACAAGGGAGTGTAGGTATCGTGTCTTCCTCATGCTGGAGCTTGGGCGCCGCTTCGATCAAACTCCAGAACAGGCCAGCCCACTCTTCCTCACATGTCTCCCAGACAAATCCCCAGTCAATTGGACGAGGTTCAACAAAGATCTTCCGAAGTCGGATGGGTGGTATCTCGGAACTGTGTAGAGTTGAGTCGCAATTGACGATATCACGAAATATGGCATCAAAGGGATCCAGGGTACACCATGCATGCTCCCACGCCTCGGGCTGGCGGCCTAGAGATTGTAAAAAGGCGCGTAAATAGCTGCTATAGGTCACCGAATGTGTGAAGAAAAGTACTCACGCAGAACACCCATCTCCCATTCTCCATAAACTTCTAGGTCAACCCCTATACTCTGCAGGAACTCCAGCCATAAGCGGTCACTTGGCGGAACCACTCGGTCGTAGTCTGGGAATAGACCATCGCGAAGTACTCGGAGGTCCGCGCCACCCCAGAGAGGATTCCTGAACATGCCAAATAATATGCAGAAGAACCAGTACTTATGGGTAAAGAAAAGACCATCAGAGGGGTCGTCATGGAGATTCCAAGAAGCGCCCATACCGTTCGATCAGACGAACTCCAGCCATAAGGAGTCGTTTTCATCATCCAAATTGAGCGCGGTACATACCAACAATTTGGAAATTGCGGAGCTCGGAGCTCGTCAGCAGAAACGTCTTGAATTCGCATGGTTGGCTGGCGGTAACTCACGATTTACCGACTCTCCGCGGCCACCTGAAACCCACACTCAGAAGCATCCGTACAGTTGACACATGTGCATGGCTATCCCCGATTCCCGCCTTGGGATGCGGATCGCGTTCAATGCTAGCCGCCAGTTTTGGTCAAGTTTCGGGGGAGACGGCACAAGGTGCGTACGTATAGAATATTGTCATGGAAGTCGTCGTCGGCACCAATTACTGCTTGTCTAGATAGGAATAGGTACTGCAAGTCGTTTACCGCACCGGCTCTCGCCAATTTAATAAGAAGCTTGTCGTCCGGGGAGTGTAAGAATGGCTGAAGAGCGATCTTCCAGCCCAGGTAGGACCGGGAAACGAGGAGTTCCCACCTGCGCTGAACTGCTAGTCCGGTGATGGGAGTGACGATTCGGGCGTTAAACCCGCCGGGGGCCCGCCTGAAGAGCAACTGGCCAGTCTTTGGCGGACTTGGCCAGGCAGCTCCCTGAGACTCGAATTTGTCCTCACTGGCACTTTCCTCCAGTGTCGCGTCCACCGTTCGCTCTGCCCCAATCGAGACGTCCGCCAGCTGCGGGATTGGTCGCTCGACAGGTGCAAGTACCCTGCCAGTGGTGACTTCCAATCTCTCCATGACGAGTTCGTGCTGGGATCTAACAAGATGCCTGCGGGGATGTTAGTAGGTTACACCCGGGAAGTTCCAGTTTGGCCATCGAGCTCCTCACATCAAATGGGGATTTTGGGTAAGAGTGAGCACCCTGATAGCGCTTTCCAGCCGCCTTTCCAAGACCGCGACCTCGTCCTTCGTCAAAACCGCCTTGAGTCCAGCCAGCTTCCTTCGCATGCTCGACTGCACGCGCAAGCGCCTCTGGATCTCCGTCGCCGAGATCTCTAGCTCCGACGACGCTCGTCGACACGAGACCACTGCTCTGCGGGCGCTGGCATCACTCCAGTTCCCAGCAAGGTTGCCGTCGGACAGGGCAAGCGCGGCATATTGCATCCGCATCCTCGATGATTGGGTTTAGGATCTCGAGTTCGGCGAGGAGGTGGTCGATCTTCTCCGGAATGCTGCCGATCTCGTCACTCGGGTGCTTGATCTTGAAGATGGCCAGACCAAGCGCGCTGACGGCTTGGCCGATTGTGATGCCGCTTGCGACGACCCCAACAGCTTCTGCCATTTTCGCGCGGCTCTGACACGTCCTCGCCCTACTAGGCACTGCGGGTGCGGGTGTGATATCGCACCGCGGGCGCCGGGATTTTTTTCTGGTGACTCTGGCCATAAGCGCCTTTGGCCCAGGCAGTATCGGAACATGGCTGTGCAAGGCATCCCACCAAGGCGTTTTTACATGGTCAGTACAGCGTTGTGTCTGAGTTGAATCTCGGGCAGTCTATTCTCCCTCTCATAGGTCTCCTAACCTGAACTTACACAAGTAACACAGTCCGCAAGTCCGCATCACTCAGTCCCTCAACTGCGGCTCCGTGCATCGTTCCGTGCACATAAGCCTCACCTAGCAACTCATATCTCCCGTCTTGTCGCGGCCGTAGAATAAACAATGCCCTCGCGCCAGCGAGAATCCAGGCCTCGTCGCCTTCTCTCGGCGACCCTGGCCCCTGGCTCAGGCTTCCCTGTTCCGTCGCAAAGAGCAACCTCCCTGTGGTGTTGTAGGTGGTCTGAAGGACGAATTGAGACTGGGCGAGTCCATCCGCCGTACCGCCACCTGGTAAACCCGAAACCTCTTCAAGAACCGATTCAACAAACTCAGCCAGCCCTTTGTTAGTACATTCTCTTCCCTCTTTCCAAGCGGTCTCTAGTTCGGACCGAGCAGCCTCGAGCTTGGGCGGCAGCACTCCATCTTCGACTTCCTTCGTTGCTCCATCTGCTAAGAGCTGCACAGCATATGTCCGGGATAGCGCGGTACAAATCGACTTCCATGCGTCATCTAGCTCACCAGGCCCCGAAGGCATAGGGAGGCCAAGCGCACGAAGAGCCCGAGGTGTAGCCAACATTACGTTCGCTATGAAGGATCTGAGCATAGCATTCCAAATACCCCGAAAGATGGCAGTATTTCTAGAAGAAGAAGGGTACTCATCGCCGAAGCAGTCTGAGACGATGGTTCGCCACAACACCTCGAGGCGTGATTGGTGGGTCATGGTTCCCTCCCCCTTCGGGGAAGGATATATTAAGCGGCCTGTCTCCGTACCCTAGGTTGAACTCCTCGAGGTACTCTGTCAGGGACGGTGTGATTATTGGTATCCGGATCTCAGAGCACACGGGAAGCTCTTAGAGTACTCGAAGAAGGTAATACTCGTCACGCCCGTTGCACGTAGCATGCCAATTAAAGTTGCAGGAGGCGCTGACCCTCCCAAGGGAGATTCCTTTGAGCCCAAGGATGTTCCCGGGGAGAATAGCCAGATAGCGACTTCCCAATGGATCGCTCGTAGACCATGGGACATGATCTATGTGAGTCTCGAGCCTCTGGAATGAATTGATGCTGAAATCCGGCACCCATGACAGAAGTCCTACAAGGCCTGTGAGGGATGGGTCTTCCTTTAAGGCCAGAGTGTTGAGGTTTTCTGACGTCAGAAGAAGAGAGCTCATAGAGTCGACAAACACGTCTCGCACGGCTTTGGCGTAGTCGGGCTGTAGTCCTGTAGGATGGCCGATTGCCTCGGCGGTACCGAGGAAAGCGTAGATTTGTCTCGGGAGTCAGTAGCGACTGTTCCCCGAAAGTATTGCAAGACCACCGCCAGCCCATAACACCACAATCCATCACCACTTTTCCATTGCTCTGTCTTATCCACATTTTCACGCTTCCCAACCATCTTCGAAATGTGGCCGTGGCGAGCGTCTTGTGACGAGTCTGCCGCTTGGAGCCTACGAGACGGTCAGCTGGGCAAATCAATTTCCGCACCTCCAGGGTGTTTGTATATCATCAACCCTGAGCTTCACAGCTGCCCAGGATAGATTCAAGGTCCACACTGCACATGACCAAGACATTGCGCACAAAGGTAGATCAAGATGATATATTCTACCATCCTATAGAGTCTAGATCTACCTACCTTTAGGTACTTGGCTTTATGCTAGTATGTAATGATAAGCTTTTCATTACACGGAGCAAGCTGATCTCTGAGAGAACTAGAGATAGCTTAATTTAATTATTTTAACATGTAAAACTAGAAGGAAATAAATGATCCAAGTCCTCCCCCTTTTTTAACTTTCAAAAACTATAATATCAATAAGTTAAAGAACAAAATGCCCGTACTACGGCCAATTCCAAAGAAGAGTGACCAAGGAGAACGCGAGGCGAAAATGGGCGTGGCATAACTTGAACAAGAAGCGAAAGGCGCGTAAAATAGCATAGGCATATAAAGTCCCTCCATCCGGGAAGACTAATGCCAGTCACAAACCCCAAGCAAATATTCCACATCAGTGTGGTAAACTCCAACCCTGCATAGGTATCTTTCGTAGCAGTCATATGCTGGTATCCTTCGAATCAGTCACGATTTCTCTTTCTTTCTGTTAGAACTGGAGCTGGCAGAGCCAAGGCAGGGCACTGCAGGGGAGTCGCCGCATCGCAGGTAGGTATTTCCCCGTACGTGCCACACAGGGGCTTGCGTACTTGTAACTGCATGCTAGACAGGGCAGTTAATCGAGCTCTCTATGCCCCATCCATTTTACCTTTACATCCTTTCCAAAGGGAAAGAAAGACCTTTGCCGCGGCAGTTAGCAGGAGTCCTTGGACTGGGCCGGGTGTGACAACTCACCTATCTAGTACCGCGTCCTGGGCTCCAACTGGTCGGTTGCATCCTCAACACTCACCCCGAGAGGCCGCAGCACAGGGCTCACAGCTTGAACGGCTTCATTCCCCCACCGGAACTCAGACCCAGCATCACTCTGGGACTCGGCGTCAGCCTCGCTCTCAGCGTCAATGTCGGCCTTCAAGTCGGCCAGCT